TGTCGTGTGAGTCTGGGAGTAATTTTTTTTTAACTGAAAACGTATTGTCATAATACGTTTTATGTTTTAATTTTTTTAACTGAAAATGTATTGTCATAATACGGTTGTTGGATAGAAACCGTAATTTGAAAATACGATTTCATTTAAAAAAAAATTTCATAAATTTTACTAATTTTTTTTTTTAATTTATAGTATATAAAAATTATTTAAAAAAAGCGTATATTAAAAATACGTTTTAATTTTTAAAGCGTATTCTTAAAATACGTTTCATTGAAAACGTATTATGAGAGTACGTTTTATTTTACATTAATTTTCTTAATCGCGGTTTAATTAAGTTAATCGTGTTTAAAAATTTTTTTCGACATAAAACGTAACATGAGAATACGATTTCTTCTTGAAACGTATCCTCGGAATACGTTTTCAAATTGAAAACGTATTCTCAGTATCCGGCTGTTTTATTTTGGTCGACAGCCTTTTTTTTTTTTTTATTTTTGTCTAGTTATTTTTTTTATTTTTGATTTAAATAATAAATTCCATATGATCTCGTATATATATATATTTGGGTTAATTTGGCCCACAAATATCCATATGCCTAACGAAAAATGTCTCTCGTGTAGTCTTGTTTACTATTTCATCCCACCAATTTTTTGTCCTTAAACATTATATAATTTAACACGATGTGACTGAACATTTGTGTGGGTCAATATAAGCTAATTGAAAAGGATATTTTTTTTTTATTTTTTTTTTCAATTAGCATTCGTTACGCAATTTACAGTATGTTTGGTTTGATGCAACAGATTTGGTTTGGAAGCGATTATTAATGTTGTTATTTAAATTTAGTTAAATTTTATATGCATTTCACATGGGCCGATTAAGATATGTTCCTTTTGTATAGCTAAATTAAGCTGGGAATGGACAGACAATGAATGTTATATAATAACTAACTTATAATGACAGAGTATTATTGACGGAGGTCTATAATTTTTTGCTTTGGATATTAGAATTTAGAATACACTTTTCGTACTAATGCGCTCCGCACCTCATGAATCGATCTTCATCGTGAGATCGGAAGTTTAATGAAGGGATGATTTTTATCGTTGTACGAAAGGTTTAATTAATGGCTCACAACAGGGCGGATCTAGAAATTTGTAAGAGTGGGGGCCTAAGTTGGTTTTGTAACTAAGCATCCAAATTATAAAATGAAATTATAGGCAAGGGCGGATCTACACTAGGGCGAGCCTAGGCAATTGCCTAGGCTCAACTTTTTGTGCTAACTACACATAGTTAATATGAGTTAATTAAAATTTTATATTTAATATATGTAAAAATATTAATACAAGATTTTATTTTAGAATTTTAAGTAATTCTACAAAATAACATAATTGTTTTTATTTAAAATGATACACCTTACCAGTCGGATTCGACGATATTATATTAGAACATTTTTAGTACTTATACCATATAATAATAATGATATATAAATTTATTGTTTTCAATTATAATTGATAAATATTTAAATCTTTATTGATAGAGATCAGTTAGATATAATTATTTTAATTTACATATACAATATGAATGCCAAATTATACCTTGTCAAAATTTAAGTTATCATATATATAAAAAAAAATGATAATATATACAATTATATTTACAATTTATGTTACCCAAGCGTTTAAACTTGAAAGTTCTGGATAAAGATCCATATTTATATGGACTATTTCGAATCCTTTGAAATTAACATATAGAATGACAAAGCGTTGGAAATTGACAATGAAAAGCTCTACATTTATATATAAAAAGATAATCTATAAGGAAATCTTTATAAAATAACATGAACAAAAATAATGACATTTAAGCTTTTTAAGTTAATAAATTATATTTCAAAATGACTTATTTATTTCCTATTACACAAAAAATGAAGGAAAAATGATTGTATGATATTTTTGGTATATTTCTTAATATTAATAAAAATGCAAAATAAAATAACCAAAATAAAATAATCAGACCTCATCTCAATTTTATTTTTTAGCATCAAGTCAAAGACAAATTGAATAGGGAACCTCTCAACACCTAATTGTTCCAATAATTTATTTAATTGTTAATATAAATACTTTGTGCAATATGGTTAAAAAAAAATTTGAACTATTTCTTGCCCTGGCTCATAAAAATGTCTAGATCTGCCGCTGAATTTATAGGTTGCGGTGGTTTATATATAATAGTCTTTTTTTTTTTTTTTTCCAAAAATCTTGTCTCATCTAAAATATAGATAAAATAAAGTGAGTTGTATTTTTGTGAATAAATACATGATAAAAAATAAATGAATAAAGTTGATATGGTTCAATGACATATGAAGATATGCTAGTGAATTAATAATATTGTTACTAGAAATTATAACATAATATGAATTTATTATGTTTCAATTGTGTTGCTTGTTGGAAAAATATAAGGTGAGATGAAATATAGTATTTTCATGATTTTTTTTTTTAATTGTTTTCTTAGTTTTAACAAGATAAATCTTGATTGAATGAAAAGAAAAGAAAAAAATCATATATCCAATCAATGTTTTTATTTTTATTATTTTTATTTTTAAAAAAGTAATTAATTAACTAAAGATTTTGAG